GCCGAACGCCATCACTCTGAACTCGTACTAACCTAGGTGAGTCTGGAAAGCGGTCTTGAATTCTTCATCTTGCTGCAACAGTATTTGGTGAAAACCCGCTCGAAGATCCAATGTTGAGAACCACTTAGCGTTTGCTAGCTCATCCATCAACTGGTCAAACATCGGCACAGGAAATTTAGATTTCTTTGTCAGAGCATTGAGGTGTCTGAAGTCAACACAGAACTAGTAGGAGCCATCTTTCTTTTTGACAATCAGTACCGGTGAGGAGAAAGAGCTAGAGCTTGGGTGAATTAGTCCTTGTGGCAACATCTCCTGAACCTGGGTTTCAATTTCATCTTTCAGTTTGGGCGGATATCTATAGGGTCGGATGAAGACAGGTTGAGCACCAGGCAACAGAGGAATCTCATGGTTCCAAGCGTGAGAAGATGGAAGAGATGTTGGTGGCTAGAACAAGTCAGAAAACTCTTCAATTAACTGACTGATTGGAGCTAGAACATTGATGGCATCATGATCTGAAGAAAGAGCAGGCACTGTATTTTCAATTTGCAACAGCAACTGTTCCGGTTTATCAGGCAGTAAACCTTGCAACACTTGAGTCTTTCTAGCATATGGAATTGCCAACCACTTCAAGGCCCAGTGAACTTGCATTGGACTGTAGGCCTCTAACCAATCCATGCCCAAAATTGCATCGAAGTTATCCAAAGGCAGCACCCGAAAATCAGTGCGAAAGGAGCATGAGCCAACTGTCCACTGAACTTGGCGAAGCAGCAAGGAGCTCTACAACACACCTCCACCAACAACTTGCACACAGCTAGACATAGAGACTGAATCTAGGTGATGTAACTAAACAGTCGTAGTGTTACTGATAAATGAAGAGGAGCTCCCTGAATTCACCAAAATATGCACTGGAATACCTGACATCGATCCCAACAATCGGATAGTACGAGCAGCAGGTACCCCAGACACGATGGACTTTGAGATGGCCAAAAACACTTGTTTAGTTGGTTGATCATCAGATGTTTCTGTAGCCGGCACAACATCAGGGTCCAGCGATTCCCAAAGAGCTTCGACTGCATGCAGGACTTTCAGTGAGCACCGCTAATCCTTACTCCACTTGGCGTTGCACTTGTAGCATAATCCCAAGGCTCGACGGTACGCTTTGACAGCAGCCAGAGCACCAGTTACCGAAGATGTTGTCGTGGGCTCGGCGGCTGTAGGCTTTGCCATGGGCTTCTCGACATGAGGCAGAGGTGGTGGTAGCGGCTGCGCAGTTCGTGGTGTGGGCTTAGTTGACCACTCAACTGGTGCCGACGAATGGAACGAAGACTGGGCGCCCGATTGGCCAGCCACCTCCTCCTACACAAGAGCCATGCAGATAGCAGCATCGAGTGTTTGTGGCCTAGAAACCAGTATCATAGCTTTAAGGTTGGGCCGAAGGCCATCGATAAATCTCATTGTATAAAACAGTGGATCAGTAGAAGCAGAATAGGATTTGAGGCGATCAATTAAGACTGAGAAGCGCTCGACATAATCCGACGTCGTAGAAGTTTGTTTGATGTGGAACAATTGACGAATTAAAGCTTCCTTCATGCAAGGCTTGACAGAAGGCTGTCCAATTTGCAGTGGCTGGGGTGTTTTCGATGGACTCATACCAGCCGACAGCGGCGCCTTCCACATAGATGGTTGTGACGCTAACCCAAAGTGAGGGATCTACGGCGTAGATGGTGAAGTAGCGTTCGCAGCGAGAACGCTAGAGGCGTGGGTTTTCGCCATCGAATTTAGAGAATGGAAGTTTAGGGAGGCGTTCAGTTGGATGTTGGAGCTCATGGGTGTCGTGAGGAGTTGGGTGGCAAGGAGTTGAAAGTGGTGGACGAGGAGGTATGTAGAGCGGAGGGGGGCGCGGTGGATGCGGAGGAAGGTGTGGAGAAGGGTACGATGGAGCTGGTGGCCGGTGCAGAAGCGGTGGTGTCGAGCTCGGATGAAGGGGAGGAGGAGGAGGAGGAGGAGGGTCGAATTGCTTACCCATGACCGGGACGTGAGTCCAGACCGTCCCGGTCCCGAACCCACCATCTCGGTGAGATGATGCATCGCCGTGCCCACTGGGTGCAGATGAAGAAGAGGCGACGCCGTTGGGCCATTGAGACAAAACGTCGAACACCTTAGGTTCATGACCTTTGCGACAACTTCTGCATCTCGATTCGCAGGTCGTCGACGAGCGCCTCCATCTCCGGGTGTGAAGTACCTAGGTCCGTGGTGGCCACCTCGAGGGCGGTGACGTGGTCGTCGCGCTCGTCGTGGAGGGGGTCGAGGCGGACAGTCTCCTCCAAATCGGCAACGCGCATGCCGATGGTATACGCCGTGTCGGCGCCTGTGAGCTCGATGGTGTCGAGGCGTTTGTCGATGGTGGCGTCGCGGGCGGCGCGGGCAAGCTCGAGATCAGCAAATCGCCGCTCCCACTGCTCGTTGTGCTCGTCGAAATGACGCCCGAACTCCTCCTTCGACTTCTGGATTTCCTCCAGCACCAGCTTGAGATTCGGTTCCATGGCTCCCAGAGAGCGTTGCAGACGGGTAAAGCGGGTATGAGAGGGATCGGAGGCCAGGACTCGAACAGAAATCTGATACCAATTGTAAGGAGAAATTACTTTGAAAAGGAAGAACAGGATGAACAAGTAACGTAAGGCGTCCAAACAGTGTTTAGTGTTTTTCTCCATCATTCGTACTGACTCGTCTCTCCTTGCTCCTCCTTATTACATGGACTCAGACTTGTCACATTGGGCCAACTATTCTTGTATTGGACCAACATAGTCTTTTAGGTCGGACGGCCAAAGCAGCTTCCTCTTCAGCAGCAGACGCGTCCTCTTCACCTGTCACGGGCACGGGCACGGGCAGGGGCAGGCTGCTAACACCCCCCTCCGGCGCGCCCGCTCGCTCTCGCCGTCGACGTGCTCGTGAGTCGTGCCGTTGGGGACCGGACGTGCCGCGTGCGTTGCATGCTGTGCTCTCGTCTCGTGAGTCGTGACGTTGAGGAGGCCGTTAGACCGCAGCTTAGCGGTACTGGGCCTATGACGTCTTCCGGGCTCCGGCCTTGAGTGGTACTGGGCTTACCACGTACTTGGACCCAGACCGGCCTCGTTGGTGGATCGACTGCTCTGGCCCACCGAGCTGTGTACTCGTGTTTCGTTGTTCGCGAACCACACGGGACAGGCCGAGTACACGTGCCTGCAAAAAAACGAACAAAGTTAGTTTCAAAAAAAAAAAAAACGAACAAAGTGAATCTAACTTACAGTGTTTGCCCAATATATGCTGCTTGATTTTCAACTTAGGCCACACCCTATTGCATGGCTTCGTTCGGCTTTAAAGCCCGACTTCACATGAGCTATATGGACAGGAGAAGACGAACAAAGTGAGGGAAATTAAATAATGCGGCTAGCTCCATGTACTTGCCCTCATCTCCATACAAGTAAATAAAATATGCTGCTACGGACATGCTTTTTTTTATTGTACACGTACAGGGTCCAAAAAATATTCACACTAGAGCACTAAACACTGGAGCTGTCCTGACGCATGAGAGAGCTATAATCCTTATGTTATTTTTGAATTTATATAGCAGTCATGTGTAAGACGTTTGTGTATCGTCATGCGTTATGAATCCATGATAAATAAATATATACACAAGGGCAATCCTCACGAATTTTCCTCCCATTTTGGAGCTAACACGTTGCAGTGGACAAGTATCACGTAAACCAGCCTTTCAAAAAAAAAAATGGCCCTGTTTGCTTGAGCTTATCAGCCAGAATCAACATAATTTTTTAGCTATGAGAACAGTGTTTTTCTCTCATAACAAATCAGTTCTACAGATCAGCTGCAGCAGCAATAAGTTCTACCGAGCATGGCAAAGATATCACAGACAGCAGCAGTCTAACGGATAAACCGCGAGAACGCTCAACACACGCTCCCGACGACCCGTCTTCTCACGAACAGGGGCCATAGCGAGCGCGACACCAACACACCCGCAACTATATCATTTCGGGTTCGTTTGGTAAAGCTCCGACTTTAGCCAAAACAGTTTTAGTTATGACTTCATCAGCGGAGTAGATTACTTTGGAAGCCAAAGCTATTTTTTTTTTGACCATTTGGCAAAACAACTTTTCCTTCACGTGAATACAAGGATGAAAGGTTCTATATACTTTTTTTTCTTTTTCATTTTTTCTCTCTTTTTTTTTCTCTTTATTTATTCTTTCTCTACCTTATCACCAATGCGGCAATGCACGCAGACTCGCCTGACGCCTGCCTTATCCTCTTGTTGCTCTCTGCCTTATCCTCTCGTTACTATGTCCCGTGGCCTCCTGTTCCTGTTCCCCACGCCTCCGCCTCCCCACGCCGCAAGAGACCGAGGACCGAGCCACGAGCGGCAGCTCGCCGGAGTAGCCTGAGCACGCACGGCTGGCCAGGGGAGCTCGAGCACGCACGGCCAGCGTGGCGCACGCACCCATGGCCGCGAAGTCCAACGCCGCGCGCCTCTGCTCCTCCACAGGCCGACGTTGCTCCGTGCCCATGCGCATGGAAGAAGGCAGGGGCATCCATGGCCAAATACGCCATGGGCCCACGCGCGCCTGACAAGGAGCCGGTGAAAGCTTGATTTTTTTTCTCTAACCGACGCGCCTGGCGTGTGAGAGCGCAAATCACGCGGCTCTCTCGTCGAGCTGGGCACTCGGAGCAAAAAACAGCTCCGGGAGCTGTCCCTCGAGCCATACCAAACGGTCCCTTCACCACTCCACAATCACACACTCGACACCGCCAATCCATGGCCTTGGCGACACCGCTCCGGCTCCGCCACCTCCTCCCCGCGGCGGCGTCGGCGCCGACGCCGACCAGGGCCCCGGATCCCGCCGGGCCGTCCCTGGCGAGCCACCACGCCCTCTCGTTCCACCGCCTCCGCGCGAGCCTCTCCGCCGCGCCCCGTCCCAGGCTGGTGGCCGTGGCCGTGGTCGCGGCGGCCGATGGTGCTGGTCACGGAGAAGCTGGGCGCCGCGGGGCTGGAGCTGCTGCGCGCCTTCGCCAACGTGGACTGCTCCTACGAGCTCACGGCGGAGGAGCTCCGCGCCAAGGTCTCGCTCGTGGACGCGCTGGTGGTGCGCAGCGGGACGCAGGTCACGCGGGAGGTGTTCGAGGCCGCGCGCGGCAGGCTCCGCGTCTTCGGCCGGGCCGGGGTCGGCATCGACAGTGGCGGAGCTAGAGAAAATTTAAGGGGTGTGCGCTTACCTTGTGGTGGTAGACTTTTATTTTGAGGTGCGAATGTAGTGAAAATTTAGCTATAATCACTGTTTTTCTATTTTTTGCGTGGGTGCGGCTGCACCCACTAATGACCTATGTAGCACGGATACGGATACGCGTATCGGTATCGGAAGGATACGGATACGCGGATACGGCAATTTCTAAGAAAACACGATACGCGGATACGTTTTACTATTTTTTTATAATAAATAAATAATAATGCAAATTAAAATTGTGAAAGTCTAAAATTTGAGTAACCATACTAGATTAATGCTCAATTACCAAAATTTCTATCTAAAAAAGGAAGTCAGGAACAGGAGAGCCCTAATGTCTGTTGTGGTTGTGGCCGGTGACCACAGATCCTATGCTAGGACTAGGACTTGCACTGGCACTACCCAAATATGTAGAGGCCATCTATTGGATGCAAGCAATCAAGCATGGGAAACACTAATCATGAAGCAGATGTGGGGAACACACAAAATCAAGCAACGAGAACTGCAGAACTAGAGTAGAATAGTAGATCAAGTATGAAAAGGAGATGTATTCATGGGAGGTCGCCAGCAGCTTGCTTTGCTGCTGAATCGTCCTCTTCCCTGCACCTTGCCCCTTCATGGGAGGTCGCCAGCAGCTTGCTTTGCTGCTGAATCGTCCTCTTCCCTGCACCTTGCCCCTGCATCGGGCGAGCCAGCTGCAGCCGCGGCGGACTGGTGGGTGCTCCCCAGCGTGGTGCTCCCGGCGCGACGGTCTGTAGGAGAAGTCGATTGATGGCATGAAGGATGAGGGGGAGGCCGGCGAGCGTGTGCGCAGCAGGCGATGCGAGGGGGCGGGGCGGAAACTCGTCGCTGGCGGCCGGCGAGTAGGGACGGAGGCTCGTCGCCGGCGAGCGGAGGCGGAGGCTCGTCGCCGGTGGCCGGCGGCTGGCGAGCGGGGTTGTGGCATCACTGCACGGGGATGCGGCGCGAGGCGCGGGCGCAGCCGTGCGGGACTGCGGACATCGGACGCTAGGGCGTCGGGGCAGAGGATAAGGGTCTGTCTTCCTGGGCTTCTTGCTGGGCTGGGCCGTATCGGCAGGGCAGATACATGTCGGATGGCGTATCCAATTTGCATAAAAATAATAAAAAATCGGATACTCCGAGGATACGTATCCTGGGCGTATCGGACACGTATCCGTATCACGCGGCTTCAGGGACGTATCCGTATAACATAGCTAATGACAATATTGATCCGCCCATGGGCATCGACAATGTCGACCTCCAGGCGGCCACCGAGGCCGGCTGCCTCGTCGTCAACGCGCCCACCGCCAACACCGTTGCTGCCGCCGAGCACGCCATCGCGCTCCTCGCCGCCATGGCGCGCAATGTCGCGCAGGCCGATGCGTCACTCAAGGCCGGTACGTACGTCCCCTCGTTTTAATTTGCTTGCTCCCAGGAAATGTGTGCACGCGACACGATAGCGCGACCAAGCGGTGCCTACCACACGTTATGCGAATAGATAAGGTCCTGCTGCTGTTAATAATTACCAACAATGTGCACGTACAAAAGGAGAAGTGAAATGCGATGCAATTCTCTACTACTCCATAGTAAGTAGTTTGATTGTCGCACATTGCTTGCAAATGAGATGTAGTCCATGTTTACGCCGACTGATACAGATGTTTGAAGTTAGTCCACGTTTCTATAGCGGTGTACTTTATTAAGTGCTTTCAAGGTTAGGTTGTAAATGATGTTGGCGTGATATTGGGACTTCAGAGAGAAAGTTTGTGTTACATAGGTGCCAATGGCATGAAGCATGATGATGGGAATAACACTTGTTGCAGTATTGCCACCATATATGGACTGACAGATTGTGTTTGGTTAAGGCTGTGTTTGTTTTCCTCCCCCTAAGGAATAAAGTGGTGCATCCTGATTAAATGTGATTGCAGCGCTCATACCAGACCAAGTGTCAGTTTCGTGATGTCAAAATATAAATAAGTACTACTTTCCATGCAATGTAATACAAATCTCTGCTGACATAGCAGAAGCTTCAAATTCAATGTTCTTATTTCTGAAGCAAATATTGGCGTCTTGTGATGAATTGATGACTTCCCCAATTCCCATCAAGTTCATATTTATTCTTGGGTTTTGCTATCCTCCTTTTACAAAAGTCTGAAATCCATTCTTTCCAGTCTTCTTAAATCTTAATGGCCAACAAAGTACTTAGCTTTTTCTAGTGTCTGCAACTGCAACTTTAGATTTATCCTGTTTTCTTGTGACACACATAATAAAATTATTCTTATTGCCGATTTTTAAGTAGAATCGTTTTGAGATATGAAATTACAATTATTAACCAGCAGATTGCAGGCATATCATGTTCCACCAGTAGGTTCATACAAAGACTAAATAGCCATTTTGAGCAAAATACGATCACTGTTGTGTTCATAATTTTTTTATTTAACAACATCACAAGTTCATTTCAACTGATATAAAAAATATTGTGGCGATATTGTGCACGGTTCATTTGTGCTAACTCATAAGCTATAGTGTTGCAATTTGCTTTGTGTAATTCAGGCAAATGGCAACGGAGCAAATATGTTGGTGTTACCTTGGTGGGCAAGACACTAGCTATTATGGGTTTTGGAAAGGTCGGTCCAGAAGTAGCTCGACGTGCAAAAGGACTTGGGATGGATGTCATTGGTCATGATCCATATGCTGCTGTTGATAGAGCCCGGGCAATTGGCGTAGATCTGGTATCATTTGATGAGGCCATCTCCACAGCAGACTTCATATCACTGCATATGCCTCTAACTCCATCGACAACAAAGCTTTTCAATGATGAAACTTTTGCAAAGATGAGAAAGGGTGTTCGAATTATCAATGTTGCACGGGGTGGAGTTGTTGATGAAGAAGCATTGCTGAGAGCACTTAACAATGGGACAGTTGCCCAGGTAATTCCTTTCATCATGACCACTCATGACTCATCCGAATGCTAATAGTGCATAGCTGTTACCTGTTAACCAATTCTCATATGCATCTGATATCTATTTCACCGTGAAATGTTTTGTCAGAAAAAAGAGAGATATTTTGGCTTTTTTCCTGATTGCATTGTGGTCTGAGTCAGGCTGCACTTGATGTATTTACTGAGGAGCCACCGCCAAGAGACAGCAAGTTAGTGCAGCATGAGAATGTCACTGTCACACCGCACCTTGGGGCTAGCACAACAGAAGCGCAGGTTCGCCAGCCTTTTCCTAACAAACTTATTTGTACCACATCATATCATACTAGCTTATCCTCTTTACTTTATACTATACCTCTGCAGGAAGGTGTAGCCCTTGAAATTGCAGAGGCTGTTATCGGTGCACTGAGAGGAGATCTCGCTGCCACAGCTGTGAATGCCCCAATGGTCCCTGCTGTGGTACTTCCATTACCAAGGAAGAAATTCAACATAGTCATTTCAGTATACTCATGCAATCTGTTTGCGTCTAAACGGTACATCTCTTCCCACAGGTTTTATCAGAGTTATCTCCATATGTTGTCCTTGCTGAGAAGCTGGGTCGGCTTGTTGTGCAACTTGTAGCTGGTGGCAGCCGGATTAAAGGTGTAACAACCCAAAAATCCACACAGCAAAAATCACAGCTATAAAATTTTTGTTTTTAGCCCCATGCAATGTTGAGTGACAATTGTAGGAGCCAACCCTAGGTGTTGTATTAGTTGTAACCCAACTAGACAATCTCATGAGCATGGCATGTCATTGTTAATTATGTTTATTAAAAATCCTAACAAATAAAATGTTGCATACATTGTTAACTCAAATTATGATTTGGATTTTCATTTGCTTTACGTAATGCTTAACAACTCCTTTAAAGTAATAAACCATAAAGTAAATATTAATCGAACCAAAGAATAAATGCTTAAAGTGAAAACTATTTATATTTTTGTATAACAAAACTACAACTATTTTTGTTACACAAAATAGCTAAATAAAGTCCCTAAGATATATAAGAGTGTTGTGGGCCTCACATCTAAATAATCCAATGGAAGAGGAAAATGGAAAAGCCATCTGGCCCAGCTTGTGGCCTGTCCATCTTCTTGGCCTAGCTCGCCAACGGCAATAGCAGCCCAACAACCCCGAACCGGCTCGCCCTCCTCTGCTGGCCCACGCAGCCGCAAGCAGGCCTGGCCCGACCGCGCGCGGCCCACGCAGCCACCCCGCACGCCACCCGCCGCCGTCGTCTTTCCTTGTTTCGCTGACGGGTGGGACACCCTCGTCATCCCCTCCCTGGTCCCCTCCTCTGCATCCAGAAAATAGAGCACAGGTGCCGTGGGGAAAAAATCCGATGCCGCCTCGGCTCCTCTCCGCCGTCCGTGCCCTCACAACCGACCGTGAGACCCCGTTGGATGGGTGCCACGCAAGCACCGGCTGACCGATAGGGTCACGCACGGTGCGTGACCGCTGCCGCGCGAACTAGCTCGCCATGGCCATGCCATGCACCTGCCTCCTCCCTGTCCCCTGCCTTTTTGACCAAGGAGCGCGAAATCGGTTTCGCCATCGCACCCGTGGCCGCGTCGCGACCCTAAAGCCCTAGCGTCGACGCGATCACAGCCCTCCGCGTGCCCCTTGGCTATCTCCAGCCGCTCGCTCCATGCCATGGCCGAGCTTCGGCTATAAAAACCTAGCCCTAGAGCCCTAGAGCTCTCCCATCGCCCCGCCGCCACATTGTGGCCATCCATTGCACACCCGAGCCAAGAGAGAGAGGGGGAAAAAAAAGGAAGAAGAGGAAGAAGGAGCGCCGAAGCCGCCCGACGTTGTCAGTGTCGCCGGAGCGGAGGACATCTCCCTGATCAACCACGTCGACGCTACTGCTCGGCACGGCACGGCATCGTCTTGACACGGCCGACGACCCGCCACTACGCCGCCATCCTTTCACCTTCGACAGCGACGGTGAGCCCTCCACCTTGCCTCGCCCAGCCATCCGCGCTCGCCGTCGCATCACGTTCATGGCCGCCGCCGCGTCCCACACCACGGGACGCAAGGCCAAAGCCCCTTCCAGCTCACGGACATGCGCACACACACGCACAAGACCGGCCTTAACCTCTTGAACCACCGGCATCCATGACGCCGGTAGAGTCATGCCCGCCATGTTGATCGCCACGAACACGCCACATCGCGGTGAGGCGCCATCTTGGCCCTTGCGAACTCTTGGCCCCCATGTCGTCCACCGTTGTGTATGCCTCGACGCCACGCACGCCATGTGTGCCTTGGCGGCTAAAGACGAGTCCCGGAAGACCCTAACCATTTGACCTCGCTGGCGTGGATGCTCTCTAGAGCGCCACCGTGCCGCGGATCTCCCCGCCGTCTCCGGCCACCCCGTGACAGGGAATCTGGCCGTCGAGCTTCGTCTTGACCTCACACACCCAGCCGTTTGGAAGAAGGGGCAGGGAGCCTCTGTTTTGCCTCGGCCGCCATGGCCGCAAGACCACCAGAGTTCCGCCGCACGCCATGCCGCACTGTGGACTCCGCCGCGCCCTTCTTGTCGTCGCTGTCGAATCCCGTGGCTCGCCAGTGACCCCAATCGAAGGAAAAAGAGGCGCCCCTTGGCCCAATTTGGGCCGCAGCCGCACGTTCGCCGCCACGCGCCGTCGCAGCCGAGCCGCCGTCACCGCCGACGCGGATAGCCTCACCCAAGCCCCGAGAGTTCCGCCTAGCACCCTAGACACGCTCGCTGGAGCACCGTAACGTGCAAGCGCCTCCCTTGGAGCCCCACCGGCGCTTTACAGTCACCTCACAGCCGACCCCGCGCCATCCCGCTTGTCGCGACGCCAGCGCCGACCGCTAGGAGAGCCGAGCCGCCGCCTTTAGCCCTTCACCGGGTTTCCATGGTGACCTCACGACGCTGCAGCACCCATTCCTAGCCTGTCCGGACCACAAGTCGCAACTGTGCGAGCTTGCCGTCGGTGAGATGCCGGAGAAGAGCAAGGGAGCCGGAGCTCTCCCCCTTTTTCCCTGCGCACCCGCAGCTGTGTGCGCCTGGCGCATGGTGCGCCGCACGCACCAACACCCGTGTGGACGCGGAGCACGGCGAGCCTAGTCTGCGGTCCATGAACCTGCACGGCCAAGTCCACCATGGACTAGCCCCGTGGACCTCAGCCCGTTTGGGACCAGATGAGCCACGTGGATGGCCTCACAGCATGACACGTGTCAGGGCCGCCCGGCCCATATCCGGCCCTGATCCAGGCCCAACCGGCCTAATTTGAACCCAGCCTGTGTTGATCGTTGATCGGGGCCCACATGTCAGCGACACAGAGACTCTGGACCCACATGTCAGGAGGTGACGTCACGCTGACGCCATGATGATGTCACGATGACATCAGCTACTGACCTCAGCAGCCCTGGCCCACATGTCAACCACTGTGGTACGTTGATCATTAACTTGACGTTGACTTTGACCTGGCCCCACTTGTCAGTGACCGTTTGACCCCAGACCCACCTGTCAGTGACCAACCAAGATGATGACGTCATGCTGACATCACACGTGGACCAGTCACAGTGTGACACGTGTCAGCCCTGAATTAATCAGCCTTAATTATTTTTAAAAATGGATTTAATCTTTGGAAATTCATAACTAATTCATACGGCCTTAGAAAAACATGAAACTAGGACCAAAATTCATCTAAAATCGAGCTCTATGCAATGAACCCATGTTTGAGTGCATTTGACTCTTTTGAATATTCATTGCTTTTTGTGCTATTCTATAGACGTCGCTAACGCGACTATAATGCGATCGTTTGCAGACTCGGAGGAGAACGAGACGGATGAGGACCGAGAGTACCGTGAGGAGTACAGAGATGACTACACTGAAGGTGCCACATCCCACCCAATCTTGTAGCACCTATTACGCATGGCTAAAATAGAAATGCTAGTGCTTTACTTTGTTGTTATGATCACACTATGATAGGACTTGCATGGTAGTATGCTTTCTTGATGGCCTTTACCTTGACGCAACCTTACCCCTGCTCACCCTGCTGTTAGGCTAGTCACACGCTTGCTACTATATTTCATTGCTTATTACTTCTACTACGCTTGTACTACATTGATGCGTGGTGGAAAAGCTGTGTGTTATCTGGACTATGGGGGAGAGTCTTTGCGTGTGTGACTTGGGTGCATGGAGGGTGAGGGTTGTGTCGACCAAGTTGGAGTATCTGACGATGAGTCTAGGGCAAGTCTTGCTGTGTGGGTGCTACACAGGCACCCCTCGAATGGATACTGTGGTGGGTAAATGGTATATGAGGTGGCCAGGGTGTGAACTTGTGATGGGAGGAGTCCAGGGTGGAGGTGTTGTGGTGGCACGGTAAATGGAAACCCTGATGAAGACATTCTGGCTTGGTCATCCCTAACGACTTACTAGTACTCAGATTCGCCGGGAAGCCTTACATACCACTCACCCTATATGGTGCGGGACGGCCGGACTACTTGGTAGGATATTGCCACTACTGCTAAGGTTGATAGCAGACAGTGCGAGGGAGGTATGAGGCACGGAGGATTTCCCCCACACCCTTCTGAGAGTTCATGGAGACCTTGTGGACCCGGCTCATGACTCACAGTTTTAGCCACCCCAGACTAGACTTGGGGTGTACCAGGGCTGAATGGTAGAGTGGCATTATCCTAGGCTAGCAAGCGGCCGGAATCAGCCCAGTTGATGACGGTCAGCGAGGAAGGCGGATCTTGTGGTTATGTAAAACCTCTGCAGAGTGTATGGTTGATCGATCGATACATATGCCGACTTGACGGCTATGGACCTTTCCTGGGTTTCGCTTAAACTAGATAGTGAGATGAGTCCTTCTCTTCTCCCCCTAGGAGTGAGTGTTCGGACGTAGCCAGGGGCTACGGGCCATGAGGCAGTGCTGAGAGGGAGTTGGCCTATCGACTGAGCGATGGTATGGTGATGGTGTGGAGATGGTGGTGTTTCGATCCCAGGATCGAAACTTGGCTCTAGACGAAAATGGGGTGGAATGAGTGTGGGAATGGTGTTAAAACTTGACCAACTATTATTATATACTTGATATGCTAATACATAGGAAACCCCAGCCTTATAGGTTCCTTTTGATTATATCCAACTTGCATCCAAGTTCCACAAAGCAATGCTCATAGGGTGGGAGTGGCCAGTACAAATCGTACTGATAAATTTTGGCACACAGGTTCTGCTGAGGAGTATAGCTCCGAGGAGTTTGACGGTTGAGGGGTTCGTTCCTTCGCACAAGTTTGGCGATCTTATCTTCAAGCTGTTCTGAATGACTGCTACTTTTGATTCCGCCAATGCGGCGATGTAATAATTTATGTAATTCCGCACTATTTGTACTCTGATATTATTGTTGTATGGATGTGATATTCGACTGGAATTTGGGTAATATGATCTACAACGGTCTTATTACACTTCGACTCTGTGGATTTCCCTTCACGGAAATCAGGTCATTTCAGTTGGTATCAGAGCCATACATGACACTAGGACGAAACCCTCAGAAATGGACGATAGAATAGGACGTGAACAACCCTTCTTTCGGTTATATACCGACCCTGCATTTACTTTTATGCAAGGCT